GGGAGCAGTTTTGTGGGACTGAGCCCTTAAACCTGTGGAGTCTGACACTAACTCAGATAGTTAATATCAGAATTAAATTGGATTTGGAGGACACCCAGTTGGTGTCACAATTGGTTGGTGGGAGGGAGAAAACCTTTCAAGTAGCAAACCAATTTTTTTTTGATAGACTCAATCACCCCAACCAATAAAGGAACCTCCTTCTTTGACAGTTGGTTTACTGATGTGAAGAGCCCAAGTGGCCAGGTGGTCATCTCAGCTTCCAGTTTAATGAAACATGTGTGTGTGCACACACGTGTACCCATGCAGGCACACCCCTGGAAACCTTCTTCCTTAGGAACAAAGCATTTGAAACCAGCAGAGCCCAAAATTGTGAGGAAAGGAAGCAGAAATTTTACTAGTAGAGGACACGGGTAATAGTAATATGAGCCACTTCTGTTTCCATCCCTTGATTCTCAGGATCCTGAATCCTCTCTATGGAAGAAACAGTACAATATATTAGTCATTAATCTGGCACTTACTGCATCCTAGAGGGTGTCACAAAAGAGTGGTTCTGCACTGATACCGTTAACTGTGTCTTCAAAGGCCTTTCTACTATTCTGTTAAGCCTCAGAAAGATGAGGGTTATGGTAAGCGCAGTGAATTCCATGAATATAAGCCCATGACCCACTTTATTTGCTGAAAAATTAATTCTCTTGTCCAGAGCGATATTATGTAGAGTAGTATGATAGTAAATAAGGCACTCTGCAAGTTCATGGATGGTAGTTTTGGCATTTGTGTTGTGGGAAGTGAAGGCAAATCCATATTCAGAGGAAGTGTCAATTCCATGAGAACAAAGTACTGCCTCTAATGGAAAGGCATGGAAGACTGCATGGAGGTCGTCCAGTGTAATCAACCTGCTATTAGGTGGCTGGCAGTTTTACCAAGAAATGGCGCCATATCAGGGGCTCAGTGTTGACCCCCGCTGTTGACAGGTTACATATTCAGCAATGACTACAGCCAGATCAGCATACCATTGGGTCCAACACCAATCGTTGACCTACAAGACTATGAGCAAATCAGTGTTTTAAGCTGCTAACTGTAAAGGTAGTTTGTTGCACAGCAAAGGCTAACTTAAACAGAAATTGGTACCAAGAAGTGAGGTGCTGCCATCACAAAAAACCTAAAACATGTGGCACTAGTTTTGGTTCAAAGTAATTGGCAAAACCACTGCATGTGGTGACTTGGAAGTTAGAAAATGTAACTAACTCATACGATTGTGGATCCAATTAAAATTTTCAGGCAGAGTGTTGAAAACATATACGAAGAAAGGGATGAACTAAAGAAAACTATTCAGTTTGCAGGCAGAAAGTAGAGGAAGTATAGAGGGCCTTTCTAGACTTTCTAAATTAGAAAATAAAATAGTTTTCAGTCACAGTCTCTTCAGTCTACAAAAGACCCTTCTAAAATCTTTTGAGGGGGCGGTTTGGTTTTAAGCACCTGTACAGACCTCAGAAAGATTTGTGGTGGTTCCTAGCAGATTCTCTCAATAGGGCAAGATAACTTCTAAAGACTTCAAGGGCATTAATTTATAGCATCCTGATTTCCTGCCAAAAGAAGAAAGGAGAGCACATCAAAAACAATTGTGTGTGTGTGTGTGTGTGTGTGTGTGTGTGTGTGTGTGTGTGTGTTCTGTGTCTAATTAAATGGAATCTACCCTGATACATAGGAAACCCACAAAGCTTTAAAGGGGTCTGTATAAGGTTGCATTTTAATGGGACCCAAACAGTTCAAAGTAAACAGATGACTCTGGGCCCTCAAATTTCTTTGAAAAGGGAGCAGGATGAGAAAAGCTATTTCTCTGTAAATAAGGGCTATTTCTTATTGTATATGTACATGACTGGATTCCTGAGTTGCTATGCACCAATGATTCCTATTTACTTCCCATTTCTCCTTTTTTTTAAAATTTTTTAAAGCTTATTTATTTATTTTGAGAGAGACAGAGACAGTGCGAGTTGGGGAGGAGCAGAGATAGGGATGGAGGGAGAGAATCCCAAGCAGGCTCCACACTGTCAGCACAGAGCCTGAAGTGGGGCTCGAATTCGTGAAACGATGAGATCATGACCTGAGCCAAACCGAGACTTGGATACTTAACTGACTGAGCCACCCAGGTACCCCTCTCTTTTTTTTGAATGGAGATATTTATTACGATTTTCTTATTGCCATCTCACCATTGCATGTTGGGTATGTGGGGAGAGGGAGCAAACAAATGTGTCTGTTTAGTTCACAAATTTTCGGACTAAGAGGAGCCACATGCAAGAAGCTGTACCTAAGAGGCCTTGTCCACATCTGAACCATCCACATCTGGATGAAGTTCCCAAGATATTGGACTCTGCGTTTGTGATAAAACTATATGATAGTTTCCAGCAATCTCGGAAGTGAGTGAATAATTACAATAAGACAAATAATACAAATAATTATAGCTAGTGGGTGATTGTGGAAGATTACATCTGGCCACAAATTCTTTGCAGCTTGTCCCATGAAGAGGTGGAGTGGGTTTCTCTACCTCTTGGATTGTGGCTGGCTCATGACTCTATTCAACCAACCAACCAACCAAACAGACAAAAATGTGACAGAAGTGACAACGTGTAAACTGTGAGTCTAAGCCTCCAGAGACCTTACAGTTTCTGAACTTGCTTTCTTGGAACATGTCTACTCTGAATAAGCCTGCCCTCTTTTTCCTGTGGAGAGAAAGGCCTGGCCACCCCAACCCTGCCAGCTGTCTCAGCTGAGGCCCCAGATATAGGAGTGGGATCATCAGACGCTATGTAAGGCCAAGGTGCCTGTGTCTCAGCTGAGCCCAACCCAAACCTGCAACCCACAGAATTGAGAGAAGATAAATGATTATTTCAAGCCACAGAGTTTTGAGGTGGTTCTTTGCCCAACAAAATCCAGTTTTGTGGCTTCATATAGAAGTCTTTTGTCTTTTACTGAAATTGCAAAAACCTTGAGGGCAGTAACTGCATTTTGCAATATTTGTGATTTCTGTAACACTTAGCACAGGGCTGGGTACATATTGATAGTATGTGAATGCTTTTTATGTGCTGGAGGCTATTATTCTTATGTTCGGAAATACAGAGTTTAAAAAGTAAAAGAATATCAGAAGAAAAAGTTTAGGCTGGCTAAGCCTATCATAGGGTTTCCTTCCTTGTTCCTGCCTCCTTTTTCACCCCTGACAAGGGGAACAGGTGTGGTCTTTAACCCCTGGTCTTCAGAATCAGAGGGGACCAGATTTTTTCCATCTATTTCACTGTTAGACTCTCAATGGGTAGTGAAGAAGTGTCCACTGCTTAAAGAGGTGACAATATAAATAGATAAAGAAAAAAACTAAATGTTTTGGCAGCAGGGAGTATTAGCCCAAACTCTGAATCTTTCAGCTTTGCCCATGGATGTTACTGGGCCTAATAACCAGTTGAAAGCAGACCAGTGAGAGTCAGAACAATTGCCTGGAATCATCTTGCTTCCTTCCTGATCCGATTCTGCTCTTCTTCTCTTTCCTCCTGAATCCTGGCCTTTGGCTTTGTTTCCCATTTACAACCTACTTACTCTTCCCTTTGAACTTGGCATTGCTATTAAGTATTCTTGGCTTGGGCTGTTAGTAATTCATACAGATGCTGGCTTAGGCTCACCTTTGGATCTTTCCACCCAGACTTGCCTTAGATAGGCTGCTGTGACCTAATTTTAGCTCCTCGTGGAGTAACCATCAAGAGATGCTGCCAGGATGGGCTGAGAGGTGGGTGAGGACCTCGTGCACATTGACTTCACATCTACTGCTGTTAGGTCTTGGAGGGCATTTGCTAATCGGATCAAGAGAAAAGAGTAATGTATTCTGCTACCATTGGAAAACAAGAGATGTAAAAATTTCCTCAATGAAATTATTGTGTAACACACACAATGCATTTTCTCTCGCTGGAGTATAGAGAGGTAGTTCCCAGGCTGTGCCTACCCAGGTGTCTGCAGAGCTGGGCTCAGGGTTCCTGCCTCTGTGCCCACCAGGGAGCTCTGCTTCATTCTGCTTTAAATGTGGGTGATGCATAGAAGGATCCTGTAAAGGATTCTGCAGTGTAAGGCTTAGATGTGAATGCACACCATCTTTATTTGTTAAGCGTAGAATAAGAGCTCATCATGAGAAACTTGCTCAGTAAATGTGTGTTGGCCAACGAACTGAATATCACTTCACTATAAGAACAGTAGAGGTACTTTAAAAGCCATGTTGTGACTTTTAATTTTGCGATAAGGTCAAAATATGATTTATTCCCTTTATGCTTATTTAAAGATCACACGTGAATCTCTAAAGTGATAGTTACCAAAACTGTGGGTGGGCCAAGTCAGCAAATGACAATACTGCCTTTCTGTGTATGAGGCTTCATTAATACTTCAATATTCGTCTGAAGACAGAAGGGTGTGTGTCCCCCAATCCCCTTGCTTCCCATTATGTTTTTGCTTGATTACTGCAGGTGTGCAAAAGCCTTTTCTGTGTGAAGCCACATGTCTCTGCATAGGAGTTTGGGGTTTGAGAGTGCATTTATCAAATGCATGCCAACTCTTGCAAAACTCCCTAAGAAAATTGTAGAACACCTGCATACTAATGGTTTTTATTGTTGAAATTATTTTATTGCACAATCAAAAACCTACAATCATATCATGGAAACATGCTCCATGACTCCAAGTACAAAAATTGGCTGTGAACTTCACTGCTGACACTTTATTTCTTGTAATTAAACTTTTACTTTTATTTCACCTATTTTATCCCATAAACAGGGGAAAAAAAATAAAACATATGGAGGGAACTGCGGGATGTTGTGGTTTATTCCATGTTTTGGTATTTTTAGCTGTTCCCAAGGAACCTGAAGCCCTGAAATTTGTACTCAAAGTGTATTAAAAAGATAAATTCATTAGTTAAAAAATATTGAAAAGCTAGCTATTATTTAGGTTGGAATCTTCTCTATTTCCTTGTCTTGCAGAAAGTAACAGACCACAGTCGCCGGTATTTTCTTTCCTCTTCAAAACCACTTCTGCTCCAAAGACCATGAACCTGAACTGAAGAAACGACTCTTTCCTGCTGGTGTGAGATAATTCAGTCTCCATGATGTCTTAATCCTGGGCCTCCCTTAATTGACTTCTAACTGTGCTGAACTGTGGCTGCTAGGAGTTGCAATGTGGATCGCAATTTACAAGGCACTGGAATCGTTTCTCGTCCTCAAATTAGTCCTGAGCCATACTCGAGAAAGATTAAAAAAAAAAAAAAAAAAAAAAGGTTTACCTTTCCTGGCTGTCTTGCCATCTCAAGTAAGACTTTCTTACCATCTCAGAATGGATGGTTGCCTTTTAACAATTTAGTTAGGGACAGAAAGGAAAGAGCATTACGGCTGCCGATAACATGTCAATTTTGTCTTAATAAAGTTGCCTCCCCAAACCATAAGAGACTCTTAAATACAGAGAACAAACTGAGGATTGCTGGAGGGGAGGTAGGTGGGGGGATGGGCTAAGTGGTGATAGGGATTAAGGAGGGCACTTGGGATGAGCACTGGGTGTTGTATGTAAGCGACCAATCACTACATTCTACTCCTGAATCCATTACTACACTATATGTTACCTAACTTGGATTTAAATTAAAAAAAAAAAAAGTTGCCTCCCATGGCTCATCTTGTCTAGGGGAATTGGAGAGCTCCTAATGCTTTTAGATGTTCATGAGGGGGTGGTGATTATTTTGAAGCCCTGTTCTGTGGGGATCCAATATAAGGATCACCTCCTTTTCCTTTTCCATGAATGTCTTTGGAATATATTTATTAATTAGGAAGTATTCTAGACCTTAGCAGCAGGGGGAAAAAAGGAGAAGGTTATTTCTTCTATGGCCCCTTATAGCCATGTGACACTTACTTCTACCTAACCTACCTTGCTTCTTCCTTTCCTTCTTCGGACCCTCCAACTTAGAAAGCCATGATATATGCACACATGAACACCAGTGGGTATAGGTGCTCTGTTAACTCTTGGAATAAAGAAGATACGTTAGAATCCTCAAAGAATTCACATCCAAAGGGGGAGACATATACATAAATGATGGTGATATAATTTAAAAAGATATATGTGAAGACTTTTTATGGCATCAGAAAGGAGAGACACCTATCACTGGGGCTGGAGGAGTCCACGATGGTTTTCTGAAGGAAAAGGCAACAGAATTAACTTTAAGGATGAATCAGAATCAGCCAGGAAAGGAAATGTTAAGAGGATCCTTTAGGCAGAAGGAATGGATGAGAAAAACAGGGAAGGTTAAATAGGTAGTGTGTGTGCAGGAATCACAAGCTGTTTCATGCCACACCGGAGAGCAGATGGGGAGGTTTGGGGAGAGCTAATCAGGCCCGGAGGTAGGTATGTGTAGTATTACATGCCGTGGCAACCGGCTTGGACTTCATCAAGTAGAGGATGGGGATGCTCTTATGCAGGGAGTAAAAGTGGTCAGATTGGTGCCTTATGTATGTCATTTGGGCAGCTGGGCACAGGGTGAGTTTGAGCACAGGAAAAGTAAGGCTGCAGGTCAGATAGCAGGCTGATACAGTTGTCCAAGAAAAAGTCCTGAACTAGGGTGGTGACAGCTGATGGTGAGGGGTTACGGCTGAGAAATACCTAATAGGTTAAACTGGAAGGGCTTGCACTAAGTTCATAGAAGGCGACTCATTAATTTTTCAGAATGGCCACAGAACTTACTCAGCTTTGAAGAGACTGGATCCTCCATTTGAGACCTGAAGACCCTCCATCATGCAAGACTGCCTGCCTGCCTAGAACTTTGTGGAGAGGCTGGTATTAACATACCAGGGCTCATGGGTGAGCATTCAGGTATGAAATCAGTTCTTATGAGAATTCCATGAAGTCTGCTCCTTCTCACTCTCAGGAACCTTTGGACATTTGTGGGATAACTATTATGGAGAACCCAGGATGAATGGGGCTGGGATGATTAGGACTAGCTTTTGGCTATGAAGCCTACAATTCCCATCTCTAAGTGTTTCCAGATTGAGAGCCATATATTTTGTCATGGAAATGCCATTTGGCTCCTAGAATGATTCCTCAGAGCTTTTAGGAGAAAGCCAGCATCCTGAACTTGGTGCTCAAGGTCCTTTCATGGTCTGTCCCTGTCTTCTTCATTCTCGTTTCCCATCACGTGACACATGCATTCTTTCTCTGTGTCTTGCAATTTGCAAATGTCGTTCTACTTTTGAAATCTTGTCCCACAGTTGTCCATCTAAATACCTTTTACTCCCCTTCAGAAAGTATCCTGGAAGCCTTACTGATGGTAAAGCCTTTAAGGGAAATGTGTGCATACATATATATGCATATTTATTTCTAGTGGTTAGCTCAGTCAGTGCTTAGCAAAGAGTTTTGAGTGAATATGGGTGGGTATTTCTCTTGTCCTATATCAGGCTCAGACTATCAGGGATTTATAAGTCATAAGAATTACTTAAAATACCCAGCAATATAAAATTCTAGAAAAAAATAAGTGTGTGACAATGCTTTTAAAAATGTAAAAATTATCTACCAAAGTATATTATTATTATATTGAATACCATGTTTACCTACTCACTCATTTAGCTAACACTTATTGGGCAAAATCTGTAAGCAAAGACAAATAGAACAGGTAGCGCATGCTTAGGAGACTTACCTGATTGAAGTCCAGATCTTTGGAAGACTAGAAGTTCAGGTATAATATTGAGTATTTTACTGACCTTTGCCTGTTGTGGAGTACTAAGTGTAGCCAGGATGGTAGAAAGTGCTAGGTCTCTTGGAAGAGGATCTGAGCTCTCACAAGCTGACTGAGTGAAACACTGCTCTCATTTTCAATGGCCTCATCTGTAAAGCCTGGATAGAGGCACACACCTCCTGGGTTGTGCAATTCAGTAAAAGGATGGAAGCTAATGTGGGTGTGGATAATTTGGTGTCAGGGTCAGTTTTATGAGTATGTGACCTGTGCAGTTGCTCAGGGTGTTGGCCTTGGTTTAATGCTTTACTGTCGCCATCTTGAAATTCTCCATAATTACTGAACAAGGGGCCTCACAGTTTCATTTTTTTCTGAGTTCCTTAAATTATGTAGCCAGTTCTGCCTGACACACAACCACGGGCACATAATAGTGTTCTCAAAAGAGCCCTAAATTCTTAACCTGAGATTAGAGGGGCCACTTCTAATGAGGGTTGGGCTTTGATGATACCTTCTCTTTGCTCTTCCACTGAAGGCATGCTGTTGCTCCCTCTATTCCCATACCTGCTTCCTGAGGAGAATATAGATTTTCAATTCTGTCATCCATTTTTTCTCATTTATTTAAAAAATCCTTACTGAGATCATTCTTTTATCTTAACTACTATTTTTATCCCCCACCTGCCCCCTCTCCCTACCGAGATAAACACATTGGCCACCAGCTGTACATAAAATCAAAAATGCAAATTCCTTTTTGATTCCATCAAGGTTCGAGTTGCAGGTTTGTGCGTGTGTGTGTGTGTGTGTGCTGTTAAAATACTTCAAAAATTTTAATTAAAAAAAAAGCTAGGTCCCTGTGATAGTTTGATTTTGGCATCTACCATAGAATTTTAAGATTTTAATATCTTTGTTGATCATAAATTGACTGTGAATTTTGCTCTGATGAAAATTACTTGTGCCTGAAAGCTACACTGGGTTGAAACATTCTACCACAGTAATCCCTATGGATTAGAGCATATTGAAGTACAACCGTGGGAAATAGAATGCTTCTTTTAAACCACTGAGCCAACAAATAAGGTCATTTGATGCTGAGAGACCGTGAATGTCCACAAAGGGGCTAGTTCACCGGTAACATTAAGCTGGTTTGGATTGACCTATTCCTCAGCTGATGGTAGGAATATTAGAACTTTATTGTTGTTGTTGTTATTATTATTATTATTATTATTATTATTATTATTATATCAATCCCCTTTTGCTTTTTGTCCTTCCAAGTTACAAGCTGGAAAATAAACTATAAGGTGGTTGAATCTCTGCATGGTTAAAACTAAGTCAACTTTTGTGCAGACTATTTCCTTTTGAATTTGCTGTCTAAATGCTTTGAAAGCATGTTAAAAATGGCAATGTGTTAGGCATTTTAAATGGGGAAGATTTCAGGTGTCATCTCTAAATGACAATTCAGAAATACCTACTTTGTATCCCGCCCCCCCCCCCCCCAATGCTCTGGGCTAGAAAACTGAATGAATGAAAAGAAAAATGGGAAAACCAAACAAATTGGAATCATGCCTGGCTTGTTTACTTTAGGAAATCTCTTAACACTCATTTTAATCAATTGAAAAGAGATGGTTCATCAGATCATAGAATTTTAGAGCTGAAAGGAGCCTCAGAGATGATCTCATCTGACTCTCTCATTTTATGGATGAGGAAACTGGGACCCAGCGAGGGGAAGACGGCTTTCTAGCATTCCACGGCTAATTAGCAGCTGGGCAGAGCACTGAAGTCACCACATGCCCAGCCTGATGTCTTTTCCAGTCTGGATTACTGCCTCATTTTCATACCAGTTTAAAGTCTTCATATAGTTACAAATTAAAAAGATTTATAAAAGTAACTTAGTGAACATAGGAAGAGTATTTTTTTTTTTGGTTGAATGAGAGCTTTCAATTATGTTTTGGAATTTTGACTGGTACTGGATATAAAATTGTTTTGCACACAGTAGACACTCAGTAAATATTTGTAGATTGAGAGAACTGCTCAGAAAAAGTTAATTTATAAAAAAAAACCCCACAAAACCATAAACACATATGTTTAACATTGCATAAGGGAAAATGCTTACATCTAATATCAAAGGAAGTAAGTTCTTCCCCCAATAAAATCCTAAATGCAATTTCAGGTGTTCTTTCCAAAAATAAAAGGAAACCTATGTGGTAGGATATTTGCAGACCTTCTCAAAGTTGCTTATCAATAGGGTGGACCATATGATTTTTTGTCCAAACTGGGTCACTTCTGATAGTGAAAGGAGACATTATAAACATTTCTGTTGAGGCAACAAGTATAAACTGGGACTTTCCAGGGCAACTAGGACATATGGATCACCTTACATATGAAATGATGAAAAGTTTACGTTAATTCGGTATTTACTATGTGCTAGGCAAGGCCTCAGGGACTTCTAGACTTTAGTGTCTCTTTTACTGGTTGAGCAGGTAAAGTCTTCAGCGACATTTTATTATGAGGTTTAAATATTATATTAAAAGTCAGAGGTGTTGGATCACATAATTTTTACTTCCTACAATGAAAGGTACAGAAATCTTTTCTATTTCTCTAGGTAGAAAGAAATGAAGGCTTTCTGGAGGACTGTCTACCTCCTTCCACCCCCCCCCCCCCGCCCCGGCCCCCCCCCCCCCCTGCCCAAATTTCTTCCACAAGTCCCTCTTTCTGAGACTTCTTTGAGTGGCAAAATTCAAATAGGATTATTTGGTGTTGAATATTTTTCTGAAAACAGCTTCCTGGTGAGGAAGGTTTCTTTGTCCTGACAAGATAGGTTGCTGCTGAATTTGCTTTTCTCACTTTTAGTTGGTTTTATAATGGGGTTGTTGAAAGCAATGAACGGTTTAGAAAAATACCCTTGGTACGGCGAAATAGGGACCATTTCCAAAGCTTGTTCAAAATCTGATTACATTAGCAATTTCTCAAATCCATTGTATTAGCTTTGTAATTTGCTTCCATGACCCACGAATCTATTGACTCAGACAGTGACTTTTTTTTTTAAGGAAGGGAAAAAGACCTCTCTCTTTGGAAAACACAAACTTTGAAGAACTTGGAAACAATAGATTTCTAGATTGGCTGGAAGATAAGATCCAAACCTACCCAATTTGTTTGCCATTGTTTGCAGTGTCTCTGTAGGGAGGCTGGGACTGATGCCTTGGTGGCTCTTTTGGATTTTATAGACAGCGCTTTAAGGAGTAACCTCAGGCTGGGCCCCTAGACGTTCTTTCTACAGGGAGGGAGAAACCTTGACGTTTGAAAATAGGTAGTATCCTTATTGAAACTTCAGCAGGTGCCTAGGTCTTAATACTCGATGCTTTCCTTATATTTTCTCACTTCACCTTCACAGCAGCCGCATGAAAACCTAAACCATACTTCGCGCTAGTTTGTGGTCAAGAAAGCAGAGGCTGAGAGAGGTGACTTCTTTGGGAACTAGCAAAGTTGTGATTTACAGGCAGTTTTGTCTGGTTCCAGGGCTGCACCCTGGGCTCTTAACTAACCACTCTGCTAGGCAATATTTGGAGATTCTCTTGGATTTATCTCAATTCTTGAGAGGATTGTCTCCATTGAAAGCCAACTACCGAGTTATCAGAACCAGAACATTTGCATACTGTTAATGCGTTGAACTGCGCCCCAGCCCCAAAGTATATGCTGAAGTCCTAAACCCCAATACCTCAGAATGTGACAGTATTTGGAAATAGGGTCTTTTATGTTTTATTTTAAATTTATTTTTATTATTATTTTATTTTTGAGAGAGACAGAGAGCAGGGGAGGGGCAGAGAGAGAGGGAGACACAGAATCTGAAGCAGGCTCCAGGCTCTGAGCTGTCAGCACAGAGACCCATGTGGGGCTCGAGCCCACAAACCGCGAGATCATGACCTGAGCCTAAGTCGGTCGCTCAACCGGCTGAGCCCCCCCAGGCATCCTGGAAATTGGGTCTTTTAAGAGAGAACCAAGTGAGGTGGGTAGTGTGGGACCTAATCTGATATGATTAGATGCCCTTAAAGGGGGAAATTTGGACACAGACAGAGGTAAGACGATGTGAAGCGGTACAGGAAGAAGACCACCATCTGGAAGCCAAAGCTACAAGCAGTCTACAAGGAGAGAGGCC